ATATATATATAAATTTAACCATGTAATATTAACATGTCAACCATTAAACACCTAGAAATGATCAAACATTCAAAGTTCCTAAATAACACATTCAAAAAGGGGAGTAATAAGACAAAATCTTTACTTGTAGACTAAACCAAGCCCCCTTGCCTTCAGGAGGGAAAGGCCCATAGGAAGGCCTCCTGTGCAATGACTGGAAGGCAAGGTGTAGGTTCCATTAGGAACAGCAAGATACCTTCTGATGAACTCTGAGCTCACCCAATTCCATATCAAAGTAGGAAATTTGAACATGCACTGTTAGGATTTGAGATCCTGAATTTGGCAGGTGGAAATATCAAAGAGAGTCCTGTAACTGATTCAAAGCAAGTGCTTTCTGGTCACCTCCTATTAATAAGACAACGTTACAAAGCCAGGAAAGAATATCATGCCTAGTTTTTGAAGTAAATGTAATAATTAAAGTGGCTTGGAAATATTATTTTCTGTCATCTATAATTAAAAAAGACTTTCAAGAAGCCTAATAATTTTCAGGTAATCAAAAGATAAATGTACACTAGAACACCCAGCTGGACTCATAGCTGGTATATGAAGTATGAAGGGTAGACTATTTCTAGAGGCAAATAGAATGAAAGGCCACAATGTACAAGTCTTTTTTAAAGCAAAAAGAGAGAATGAACCACCAGTTTTCCAATATGAGTAAATGTGCCGTCAGCTAAAATATTTAGAGGTCCTTATGAAAATTATCCTAATTTATAATTTCAACATAAATGCGATCCAAAGGAAGAGAAGTGCATTTTTATTGGTTATGACATGTCCTTTTCTAGGGGATACACCACCAAAGATATAAATTTGATTAAAGAAGGTTTAAATTCTTAGTTAGTTTGAGTAAATCAGGTATCTCAAGGTTCATATTGGTTTTTGTTTGAGTATTATTTTCAGTATCCAAGGGCATAATGGTAAAATAATATTTTACTATCACATAAATAAACCTTTTGAGGATGTAGGTCTTAATTTGGAATGATTTCTTTCTGTTCTTTCTTTTAGGTGAGCAAATTAAAAGGTTTAATAAATTTTTTTTAATTTTGTTCCCTTTTTTAAAGGGGCTCAAAAAAAGGTCAGAGGCACCTGGAGCCTATAAGTTCTGAATTTCAGACAGAAAGCAGTGGAGAGTAAAGCAGCAGTCAAAACCCAAACTGGTTTCCCCAGCACAGGCCTACAGTCACTTACAGGGTTTCCTAGTTAGTTAATTAAAAAAATCATTTTAAGAGTTCCATACAGTAGAGTTTAAAGAAAACCATATGATTTTCCATAGAACAAGACAGTTTGTCTTTACAGATTTCTCAGTGACTTTGGAAATCCCCACTCAAAAACTTAGTGAAGTTAGAAAGTTAGAAGTACCTTGGAGCTACAATGAACCCTTTTGGGGAGAATTCTGAATGCTTGCTTTCAAACTTTTTAAACCTGAAATTAATTAAAATACTAAGAAGTGTGACAAGGGGCAGAGGGGGAGAAGAAGAAAAATACTTTATATGTAGACACAGACTTACCTTCTTTGAGAGCTGCTGCCAAAAGTGAAGCCACTTGAGGAGTTTCTCCAGAGTCGGGCTTAATAAGTAGATGTGGTTCTGCCTGAACTTCTTCAAAACCACTCATATTCCCAAGCTTTGCATAGATATTAAGTTTCTCTTCTAAATAGTTACAGATCTGCTGGTCTTGATTATTCAAGAGTACTATACAAAAAAACCGTACACTATTAAGATTAAAAAATATGGCGATAGTAATTATTACTTATTTATGCTGGAACCATAATTATCCACATTATTATTTTCAGTTTAAAATTTGGTATTTCTATTATGAATTGCATGCAATCCCATCCCTAGTGAAGCAACCACATACACATTATAGTTAGTTCACAATGAGGAAACAGCGCTGGGTAGGAAATCCTAATGCACAGACATGCTTATAAAATGTCTAATGGAGGAAGGGACATTCTTTCTTAAGACTATGTCCACTCTAATGGATGAATGTATTCGTTTTAAAGTGCCAGAAAACATTACACTATACCTTGACATTTTTGAATTTTGGCCGCTCTGGCTTCAGTTATTTTTCGGTCCTCATCAGAATCACCTATTTTGCCTTCTTCTTCTGGGCAACTTCAGGGATGCCATATAAGCAAAACAGATTATCTTATTATCTTATTTTTTTTTCCATAAAACATTATATACAGGAATCCATTTGGAAAAGTCAGCTTCAGTCATACTAATTTAATAGGATTAATTTAAAGGAATCATTGTAGAGATATTTATAATTTGATGAAGTTAGCAGATATATTTTTCCCTCATTTTGTCTTCTGCTTAAGAAATATTAAACAGAAATAAAGATTGCATTTAAGCAATTGGCCATCATCTACTTTAAAAATCAGGCTGGATGTGACATCATAAATGACATGCTTACCCAATGACACTAAACTGCCACAAAGATGGTGCCTTACTATTCCTCCTGTCCTCCCTAGTAGAAAAGTTTCTTTGCAAGTCAGATCCCAATTCATACTGCCATTTAAGTATCCCAAATAGCCTGATTTGGAAAGACATATGCTTCATTTTATAACTTTTAACAGCAAGAAGCAGTATGAGTTTTTAGATCAAATCTCAGAATCTTCAAATTGGTATATGTTTCCAAGATTTGTCACATGTATTTTATTTTGGTAGGATATAGTTAACAAACATTTCTAAGGAGAATTTTTTTGCATTAAAATAAAGAAAGAGTGAGCAAGCAGTAACCAATGTTCCAGTATATACCTTTCCACTGCTTCTTGAATTTGCCTCATCCAGTGACTGCGTTCCTCTTTGGAACTAGTATGAATTTCATACATCTCAGGTCCTGTGGAGGATGCACTGATCAAGAACATCCCTCTCTCTTCATTGGCTACCTCTCTGACAATAAGTTTCTGAAGAGCTATAACAGCAGGCTTCTGGTCCTATACAGATCACAGAAAAATGCAAATCACAGAATATTCTGAGTGAGTGATGTGATGGCCTAGAGTTAGAGCTCTCGCCTCACAATCAGGAGGCTATGAGTTCAACCTAGGTAGAGACCAGATATTTCTCTCTCTGGGCACAATGAAAATATATCTGCTGAACAAAGCTCTGCATTGGCAACAGGAAGGGCATCCGGCCAGTAAAACACTCAGCTCCATTCAGTTGGCCAGATTCCACCCCACAAGGGATTATGGGGTCATTAAAAGAAGATGATGAGGATGATTACAGTATATTTTGAATAAAAGGATCTGAGTGACCATCTAAATTAAATCATTTCAATATAATACTATGTCAGCTATTTCTGGAAACATTATTTTGTTGTATCTTTTTTTGTGAACAAAGGTAAATAATGTGAGCAGGAGCAAGCTTATCCTTTCACTATAACATCATTCAAAATGTATTTACAAAGCATTATCCTTCATGTCAGGAAAAATCCGGTCTGATCAGGATGTATCAATTCAATTAGAAATTTATTAATCTTTTTTGCAAATATTGCTGTTGAAAAGCCTGCTGTGTGCATTAAGTAACAAAACAGGTCTGTATGACTCTGAACAGCCTGTAATATTCCTCACTGAATAACACAGAAATTAAAGGAAGACAAAAATGCTTCACACTGTTGAATCTCATTCATTACCTAAGTTAATGGCTTAATGAGAATTCATGAAATGTCTTATAATACATTAACAGCCCACCTGGTCCTGGTTATTGAATTTTATCTGTATTGCTCCTTTTGTTTCCTCTTCAATAATTGGCTTATTGGAGCTTTCTTTTGTTCTTCTATACACTTTCTAAGGTGCATTGTGTCTAAATATTTCTCAGTCTGCCCTGCATTGAATATCTATCCATTATATTATCTGGAATAATATTTAACATGTATCGGTTTGTCACCTCCTACACACTACAATATATAAACTGCAATTTGAGGAAAGTTACAGATTAACCTCAACTTATGACTAGTCGCCTATCAACTGTTCAAAGTCCTGAAAGGTCCCCCCAAAAGTTTTTTATGACTTGGTTTCAAAGTTATGGTTATGCAGCACTGTGCGGTCATGTCAGGTGCTTGGCAATCTGCACCCATACAACCAACTTCAGGAATGCTACAGCCCCCCCGCCAATCATTTAGTAAAGAGTGTAATTATATTTTGCTTAACCTGCTATGAAATCATTAGTATGAATCATTAAGGGAATCTTCAAATTAATTTATCATTTTAGAGATTTGACAAAATCTGCTACTCAATATCTATTTTCTTTCAATGACTGGAACACAAATACATTCACATTTACACAGATTCAAGATTGCCATCTAAAATGCTTAATTTTGCCTGAATAAGGTCCCAATATTTGTTATTTTTATAAGAGATACAATTTCCCAATTAAGATAATTTAAAGTGTTTTTAAACATTTATACTTACAACAGCTGCAAATATATACTTCTGATCTTTTTCTTGTAAAAACAACATCACATCATTTAGAAGCAGAGCTAAAATGTCTTTAAAAAAAGAAAATTGCATTATAGACCAATCATTCATATCAGACAAATCGAATGAAAATAAATTCAATTCTTTAAAAACATTCACATCACAGTACAACATTCAGAGATTCACTAGGTGCACCGATTAGAATGGGACATCCTATGAAAACACGTTATAAATTGAGGAGGTGGGCACACTTCCCTCTGAGGCTCCCAGACTAGAGCTCAATGATTTGTATTCAGTGAAATGACATCCACAGATTTATCACCAGCAGTATTTTGAAACAATAACAACTAATATAGTTATTAATATATTTCTTCACTTTAAGAATTCTGGGTTATGTTTTATATTTTAATACAGGTAACCCTCATTTAGTGATAATTTGCAGATACAATAATGAAAAACTTTTCACGGTTGATCAATGACTAGCAATTCTCGTAATGACAAGCTACACAGGCTGGTAAAGCAAAGAAAAGCTGAAGTAAAATCATAATCTGTTGTGGCTTTGCTTAGTTACCACTTCTATTAATGACTGACTTAGCAGTCCCAATTATGGTTGCTAAATGAGGATTATTTGTACCCGAATCAGGGAATACAACCAGTTCATCTAGTTGCTTCAGTCTTCATTTCACTTGCTTTAGTCTGTCTGTTAAAAATTTTACTTGGACCCTTTCCCAGATGTCCTTCAATATTTAAGGTGCACCAAGTGTCAAGGGGAGAAATTTTCAGAAAGGGACACTTCCCTCTGCAAGAGACTCATCTGGGAAGCTGGCTGTAATTCTTTTAAGTGCCCATCTATGTTAGCACCTTAATTCAGAATGATTTTGATGACATAATTTGAGCATAAGCTTGCTATTTCAGAGTTAACTTATGTACTTGATTTTATTATTTTCTTAATTTTGTGCTTCTTTTTTTTTGTTACTACAGTGCACTTGTTAGGCTAACGAAATAAATTTAACTTGAAGATATAATTTTACACCTAACAGGTGATATTTGAACAGGTTTAATGTTCTAAATGTGATTTCATACTATATTGGAAAACAGATTGCTAGTGTTGGGTGTGCTACAATCAGATAAACTGATTTCTTATTTTTATGACAGAAAATAAAGGATTCAGACAAACTTAACTCTGGAGAAAATTAATGAGAGAAAATATCAAGGCCATAAACTTAATCAACATATTGCTATCCTGTCTATACTCTAAGACATTTTTCATATTTTTAGCAACTTATATATTTGTAACAAAAACTTTCTTTAGAAAAGTACAGATGATGCACACTGAAAGTATACAAGGAAGTTGAATTTTAATAACCTTTGAAACGTCCTGTAGCTGTCTTCCAGTAGACTAACCCTTCATACAAAAGCGTTCTCTGTTTCTTGATCAAATCTTGTTTCCTAAAAACATGTCCATTTTTCAGTTTGGTATATGTTTTGTTCTCAACTTTACTAAGAATCTCCAGCAACTTCTGTTTCTTTTCGTATTCACTGACTTGCAAATCAACTGCTGCAATCATATCCTTGATAAGGTTAAGAGCTCTACACAAATCTTGATGTTCTTCTGTTCCTTCTGTATAAAAATAAAAAGGCACATAATGTTAGCAAACCCTTCTCTTTAAGTATTTAGAATGGATTTTCATAAAAAAGAACCAGAGCATTATTTTCAAATCTGTTTTGTGAATGGTTTGTGGAATTCTAAAATCAAAATACAAGGTTTGCTACTTTAAAAGCAGAAATCTGAAAATTCATTTAATGTTTAGAACAGAGGTGTCAAACTGGCGGCCTTTGGGCGGGATGTGTCAGGCACAGGCCACGCCCATCCCAGCTCCACGAATGGGAAAACTGTCACAAAACAAAACATCAAGTGACAGCAATGTGATGCAGCGAGTTTGACACCTGTGGTTTAGAAGAATCATCCATGATGTTGCCACATTAATCTCTTAGTATTACCACATGGATGCATTGTTCTGGTAGAACAATTATTACCACATCTGCATTGTTCTGGTAGGACCATGACCGTGGGAGTATAGAACCTGACACCACAATTAGATTTGCTTCCACTTCTTTTTCTTCCTACCATCTCCTCCTTTACTTACACTTTTGTTTACTGGACTTGGGAGTTACAAAGACCCCTTCATTGGGCCACTGATTAGCTACAACAACCTTCCCAACCCGAATGCCCAGGCTATGTGGACTTCAACTACTTCAGATCCTAGAAACTTTACCATATTTCAGGTAATTTTTTTCAAGGTTAGGAGCTTAATCTGTTTACTTCATTGTAATTCTCCAATAAAAAACAATAAAATAGAGAAGCACATTTTACTGATGGATTGATGGCAGACTCCACCTCCTCTCCCTTGTTCTCTGATCTCCACCTGACCATCTTTTGGTTATCATATTAATCTTTTTGTTACCATATTGGTGTATTCTTGTTGTGTTCCATTTCATTGTTTATTTTATTATTATTTTAGTTCTGTTTACACTCTTTTCAGTTCTTCCTTTTTACTGTTGTAAGCCACCTAGAGAAGCCCCACAGCAACGTAGGTGGCAAATAAATTTACAGAGAAATAACAAATATATGAAACACACCTCATTTTCATTTATAGCGAAATAAGTTATTTGCAAAATAAGAAAAATCTGAAATTTGTAAAAAGAAATTTTTGTATAAGAAATTTTTAAAGTAATGTTGATGCGTTGATGTTAGTTAGCTAAGCACACCATAAGATTTAGTCATGAAGCAGGTAGAAAATTATTGCTTACCTTTGGTATACTGTAATATTCTTTCTACTAGAACTGGGTACTTGGTGATTCTTTGAGTGACTAGCAAAATGCATTCTGGGATTCCTCGACGCCGGGCCAAAAGATTACTATTCCGCAGCTTTAAGAAGAGATTTAACTTTTAATATACAGCCTTCAAGGTTGCTAGATATAAAATGTCACTTAGATTTTAAAGTCTCTCTGCTTGGGTGATGGAAGACAATCTTCTATATATTTTATTTCTTGTTTCAATCCATCTGATATTGAGGTTTTATTATTCACTTCATTTTGCCATGTTAGATGGCTGATGCAGAAAAATGACTAAGGAATTTTATAATAATTTTGAATAAGTTATCTACAGTGCCAAAGAAAATGGCCTGGGATAGCTAAAAAAGTAAAAAAAAGTAAAGATGACTCTAATAGCAAGAGTTTCAAAAACCCATCTCTTTTATATATTTATCAATCCTGCACACCCACACAAAGGTTTGGGCTTCAGCTGTGCTGCTGTGATTGTCACTTTGACCTTTTTGCCTAGATGTTGCTTGTCCCTCACTCCAATGAATCACAAAAGCTGGTAGGTGGTCTGAACACTCAGAGGAAACAATAAAAAAAAAAATACTAACGAAGTATATTGTTATATTATATAAATAAAAAGCTTTTATCTCCAATGTGGACCTGTCTCATTAGAATGGGAAAGGTTACTATCTTATTTTTAACTAGGTACAAATAAGCCAAAAGCAAGTAAGCCAATATGCGTGCAATTGTTGTTGTTTTTTAACTATTCAAATAATCAGAAACACTGAAGATAGTTTATTTTTTTAATTTCATATGGCTTTAATGATAAGCCATTTTGGAATGAAAATAATAGTGTCTATTATTACTTTATTAAAAATAGAAGACAACTTCTATAAAAGAGCCATGTATTTATTTATTTGTTCATTTTGTTCCATTTGTATAACGCCCAATGTCCAATTCTTCTGCCTTAACATTCAATGGCTTTTTTACATTGGTCAAAATTTAATGAGTTCTATCTGCAACAGAAAAAAATACTGTTACAGGAATCGATTTTCTCTTTCCTTAGAGACCTACACTCCACTTCGAAAATCTTAACAAAATTAAAAAGTAAGAAAACTGTTTTGTATAAATGGAAGCCTTTTATGTAGCACAGGAATTCCATTGGCTGCAATTCTTACAATTCTGAAAGTCAGTATTATCAGCCATACTGCACTAAAATCGAGCCACCTTGTGGTATACTTAGGAAAAACTATTTTTGAACTATTTATTAGAATGCTAAGCTAATGTGCTGTACCATTTCTCACGTTAACAGTTCTCCTAAAGTAGATAAACTTTTGTACAACTGAGATAGATATTATCAACTTACTTTGATGAAATTCTGGAATTTTTTGTTTTGCTGCAATTCTTTAAAAAGGCTAACTGCTTCTTTTTGGTGACTACAAAACTCCCCGTAGATTGTCTTCATTTTTCTTGCATTCTCTTCTGAAAACTGAAAAAATAGTAGCAATTCAATAGAGTATCAGTAGAATTATTGCTATGCTACATACTGAATATGTAAGCAAACTGGTTCTCCCACTCCCCAAATAGATCTTTTTTCCCTTCCAATCTATTTGGTGCATCAGAAAAGCATTATAGACTGGGAGATTCACACAAAATAAAGGGAAGTATTTGCTATGTGATCTCAAACATCATGAAAATGTTGGCAAAGGAAGGTTAAGGCCTTCCTCTTTCAGGATTAACATATTTAGGGGAGATGTGGTTGTGATTGGACCAGGATCATAAAAATGGATATATAGATAATCATTGGCTTATCAAGGCAATAGTGGCCGCAATTTCCATCGCTAAACAATTTAATCATAAAGTGTAATTAATATCACGTGATTGAATCTGTCATGCCCCTGGTGGAGACTGACTCTGAGGAAGAGGAGGAACAGCCAACAGGGAGTGGAAGTGTGGCTCTAGAGGTAGTGGAGGCGGCTGGGGAAGGGCAGAAGCCTGCTGAGCAGTCAGAGGAAGACCCAGGCCCATCCCCTATCTATCCTAGGGCACACAGGGAGGAGAGGATCAGGGTAAAATGTGGTCTACTCAGGAGGAGAGGGCCATGATCCTCTTCATGGGTTGCAGGTGTGAGATTTGCATAAGAGTTTGGACCTGCATGCTAACAGACACTGGAAACAAATTAGAGTTTTATTCCTAAAGGTTTATCTTGGTTGGCGTTCTTCCAACAGACTGTACCTGGTTATCTTCCTGAAGTTGGCAATTATCTATCCCGGTCTGTCGTGAAACTTTATTCAGTGGGGTTTGTTTTTGTTTTTTGCTTTGTTATCGGCTCTTTGAATTTGAACTGTGTTTCTTTCCTTTGAAATGTTATTTTGAAAATAGTTTACTCCTCCACTGTGAACAATTAAACAGTGAAGCCAAGTTGAAGGCATTAAAGGACTTTTAGTTACGTTTTCTTTTTCGTTATATTTCTGATATATTCTGGGTCATCACAGCATCCCTTAGCAAGGGCAATCCTGGCAGTTCCAGTTGTTGACCTTTGTCCTGGAGCATGCATGTCATTAAGTGTGAAAAGATGAGAGTCCCAGTCAACAGGTGTGGATAAGCGAAACAGGAAGACACTTGGGGGGGGGGCTGCTTCAGGCTGGGGCTCTGGAATGCATGTGGGCACATGGGTGTTGCAGGGTGTGTCACAAGCAGCAGGCATTTTGAAGCATAGGCACATGCATGAATGCTGTGGGGGAGAGGATGCTGTGAACAAGCACTACAGAGTGTAGTATGTGAGCAATTTCTGACTTCCTGCCCACTTTTCTTTGACTTTGCTTGTGGAATGTCAGCAGGAAATGTTGGAAATGTTGATCATGTGACCACACTGGACATCAAGTGCCTGCCTCGTGATCACATGACTACTGATCCACTGTAATGGTCAGAACAGTGACAATGTTCATAAATCCTCCTTATTCAGTCACATTTTTAATTCTGAACAATTACTAAGTAAGTGGTTTCTCTTAGAATGACTATAACTTCACAAACACCCTGCTGAAAGTATAATTCTATTCAGCGCTCTACCTGCTGCACAAGGACATCTCCAATTTTGCTGATCACAAAATTTCTGTCACTTCCCTCCCGACTTGAGAGCTGTCGCCTTTCCTTCATCCTACAGAAGAACTGCTGGTGAAGTTCTAGCAGCTCATCTAAACAAGGGAATATTTTGTCCACTGTGCTGTGGTCCAGCTGTAGTTCTTCTTTCATCCCTTTTCTGAATATTTTGGACATGATGAAGAGGGTATGGATGTGGTGCACTTCTGTTTGCATCAGTTCTACATAAAAAAACCATAAAATTCAATAAGTCATGGTAGATATATTTTAGAGTAGATCTATTTATTTTTATATATTGAAGAACTATTCCAACATAAGGGGTGCTATCAGGACATTAGGGAACACCTAAGGTCTGAAGAAGTATAAATGCATCTTTAGCAAGAAATAAATTGAAAAGAGAAGATGGGGATTAAAGCCCACAGAATCTACGAATACACTCACAACTGTGACAAACTCCTTGGAACAAAATAACACGGAAAGGAAGAACAGCATGCAGCACTGGATGGGTGAGGGAGTCATAGCTATTTGCCTGTAATCCTAAATAAAAGTGCCCTGCATTATTGAGCACGTCCTATCATTCTGTCCAAACACTCTTATTAGATGAGAGCCAGTTTGGTCTAGTGGTTAAGGCACTTTGATGTTTGATTAATTTGATTGCCTTTGATGTAGGGATTAAAGCACCAGGCTAGAAAAGACTGTGAGTTCTAGTCCTGCTGCCTTAGTCATGAAAGCCAGCTAAATAACTTTGGTTCAGTCACTCTCTCTCAGCCCAGCCACCTCACAGATGTTATTGTGGAGAAAATAAGAGCAAGGATTAGATGTGTTCACTGCTTATAGTTATTTATAAAAATGATAAAGGTGGATTAAAACATCTTTTTAAACAAATATCCATTAAGAATATTAAATAATAGTTTATCAGATTACTGCACAGAGAATAGCTGCTCTCTCTTTCTCAAAAGAGACAAAAGTTGCAAAAACAAAAATAAAATATAAGTTCTGAAACTAGTATGCATTTTTTAAATTTTATTTCACTACTGATTGCAGCATAGATTACAATTTTAGATTACAATTCCTATTATCAAATCCTGCTGGTAGAATACAACACATTTGTTGAGTGCCAAATTAGAGAAAGCTGTTTTATATTTTCACTTCCAACCATCTACATAAAAACTGTGAGAATCAAAGATATAGCTAATTTATCTATTAGATTCAATAAGTCCTATGGATGATAGCAGGCCCCAGAAGAAAGAGACATGAACCAAAGTTTTCAGGTAGGATGGTTTCAAAATATACCAGAACTATATGTAATCCTGCTGAGCCGTTGGATAAGTTTAAAACAGGAAGAATGAAACTGTTAGAAATGAGGAACTGAAAGCAATGTATACAGGTGTTTAAGGAAAGTGACAGTTCGTGAAGTTGTGAAGCGTGTATGTGGTTAGAAGAAAAGTACAGTATAAAGGATAGGATTGGAGATCAGCTTGGGGCCTTTGATTTATGGCAGTCCTTGCAGGACTTGCTCTACGTCATTGGACCCCATTGCAATGGCTTATTAATGTAAGTGTATTACTGCTATTATATTTTTTTATATCTATTCATATCTTATGTCCCAAATTATTAGGAACAATAAATCTCTGATCTTAAAGTATTAAAGAATTTTTGTTTGTGTTGCTATCTGTTTCCTATTGATATTTTTTATGACAAAACATAGAGGATACTATAGCAAACTAACCAAAGATTACATCTTGTCGCTTGATAACATCCTTTTCTTGTTGGTTACAAAACCAAGGCTCTACAACCAGACTCCAAGATTCTGCCTCAAATTCCAACGTATCAGTGCTGAGGTCACTCCATAAAGAGGCATCAACATCATCTATAGCAAAATAAAAGCCATTCTTAAACATAAAAGATAGGAAAGTTAAATTCAGATACCAATTGAACGACTAAAAAGTATTCCAGGATTGGTTTGTGTGCTGATTTTTAATACTCCAAAGGTGTACTAATGCATCTATGAATCTGGAGATATGGTTATCAATTTCCTATAATGTTTGCATCTGTGTATTTTAATATATAATCCATTTTTAATAATGGTAGCATTTAATGGGATGCACTTTACTTTAAAAATGGAGATCTCAAGATGAATGTTATATTCTGTTAAGGAAAAACTCAAGTGTCACTGACTTTGCAAAAGGTTAATCCTGTTAAATTTAAGAGAAGAATATGGATAAACCATATCCAGTTTGATTACTCTTTATCTTAAAATCTCTTTGGTATTGCTTGGAAAATTTTGCTGAGTGTTTATGAAGGAACTAACACTTCATTCATTTGCTTCCTGCTCAAGAAACACAGTAATCCTGTAGTACTGGCAAATGTACATTCATTTTTAAAAAGACACTTTAAAGAAATACAGTGATGGTACCTCTTAAAAATTTCCAACATTTTTAGATATCTGAAAAAAGAGTTTAGATCAGCTGTACAATGCTGATTTCTAAATTTTGAGCCATGTTTCTCATCATAACATGATCACTAATTAATCCCTTTTAATTTTTTAATATGGAATAATTTTAATATAGAGTAAATTTTGTGTGAATGATATCACTGTGAGTTCCTGGTTTACCTTCAATTATAAAAGAGTCAACAGATGAAGTAGACCCTAATGTTTGCAGCAACTCTTCGGAGTGTGACCTAGATCTCCAATTGCTGGTATTAGTATCTGGCTCCAGTGAGGACATACTCTTTCTATGGATAAAACAAAATCATATAAATATAGTGATTCACTTGGAAAGTTTTTTTTTAACCGTGACATTGGAGACTGTGGTCTACCTTTCAGAAGTGGTACTTGGAACACTTCTGGATAAGGAGTGTTGTTGCTGTAATGCTTCTTTTTTCATAAGGGATACTCCAATGGGAATTGTGGTAGAAGGCAGAGTTGCCAATGCTGGCTGTGGAGTATCTCTGAATGATAGATCTGGAAAATCAAAAAATACAGTGTTAAATTTAAGCAATGTATTCTATCCATGTATTAGAGACAGTCGTGATGAACTGTATGCCGAAATCAGGAGAATCTAGTAGCACCTAAAGAATTATATTAAAAGCCATAAACTTTTGTGAACTAATGCTCACTTCATGAGATGCATGAAATATCCCAGAATCTAATTCATCTCAGAAATATTGGAGAATAACTGCTAATCTGTTTAAACAATATTGTCTTTGACAGTAAACATATGACTGTACAGCTGCTTCCTATATTCCTCCAGTATATAGCTAAGACAGGAAAAAAATGTTTGTACTCACCCACTGCATCCTTTGATTGCATCCCCTACCAATTTAGAATGTGACTGCAAAGGCAGTAACATATCATAAACTGCCTTTGCAACCACATTCTAAATCTAATATACTAATAACTGTCCCACTGAATTTAATAAGATGTATATATAAGTAGACATATATCAAATTGAAATATAGCTTTGAAAAGTCTTTTAACACAGAGCATGAATAATTATTTACCAAAATGAAATGTAATTTGGAAATGTTATTTTAACATACCTCAATTTGTTCCTACCTCCATCTGTGATTACTAAGACATATTTCATAGTCTCTAATTTCTGCATTCAATTTCACATTTTTAAACTCACTTTAATATAACTTCTACAAATGTCAGATTATCTGAAGAGTTCACATATTAATAGTTGTTCAAAAAGAGTAAACAGTATTTAAAAATTTAATGTTTGATCGTAATCTGGTTCAATCAAAATTGGAGGGGAAGTGTGATAACCCGGAGTGTCCCACAAATGTAACAAAAAACAAAACTTAAATAAATGTTCTTTAATGCCTTCAACTTGGCTTCACTGTTCAATTGTTCACAGTTGGAGATTAAACTCTTTCCAAAATAACATTCCAAATGAAAGAAATACAGTCCAACTTGTTAGGAATCTGTAAAATTAGTTCAGTTGGCAATATATAAACCAACAATGAATGTTTGTAGCTTTAAGATAAAATCACTGATTGGTTGATTGTGTTGCAAGTTGCCATAAGAGGGAGCTAGAGATCATGGCTTGCTCTCTCTCTCTCTCTGACATTCTGTATCTCTGACATTCTGTTTCTCTGACATTCTGTTGCTGTTGTGCTTATACTTTGATATCTTTGTTTATGTAAATGAAAAAGGCAACCAGTAAGAAGACTTTGTAGTTGGATATTCTTTGGACTGTTAAACGTATATGACCTGGACCGTTTATTGGACTGTGCTATTTCTTAAAGTAAACTTTAACCCAATTTAGTGTATCTGTATGTGGCTGAATAATTATTCATAACTACTCTCATAAACGCTTCCATGTGTATATCCTTGTTACTCAAGGGTTATTCTGTACATATCATAACACAACTCAAAGAGCAGATAATGAAGCAATAAAAAACAAAAAACAAACCACACTGAAGAACGTTCCATGACAGACCAGGATAATTAATTACAAACTTGAAGAAGATAACCAGGTATAGTCCGTTGGAAGAACGCCAACTAAGATAAACCTCACCAAGGAATAAAACACTCTTTGTTTCCAGCGTTTGCTAACACGCAGGTCCAAACTCTTATGCAGTTCTTGCACCTGCATCCCATGAAAAGGATCAAGGCCCTCTCCTCCTGAGTAGACTACAACTTTCCCTTATCCTCTCCTCCCTGCGTGTCCTAGGATGGATAGGGGTTGGTCCTGGGTCCACCTCTGCTTGCTCAGCCAGGCTCTGCCCTTCCCCGGCCTCCTCCACAACCTCTGCAGCCAACCTTCCATTCCCTGTTGGCTGTTCCTCCTCTCCCTCAGTGTCAGTGGTATGACAGGAAGTCCAATTTTCCAAGTCTTAATTTAGAGCTAGGGTACATAATGAGCTGAGGGCTATCTGAATTGCATATTACAAACCTCACTTTCAAAAATGGAGGAAGTCAGGGCCAAAACTAAATCTGTTTTAAAATAAGTTAAATTTAAATACCATTAAAAGTCTTAATGTGATTATTTTAGGTATATTTAATAATTTCATCTTTCTGCCACATTAAAAATAACAGGAACTTTTGAGTAGATTACAAGCAAGGGTGGGCTGCTGGAGGTTCTCAAGGGTTCAGGAGAACCTCTATCTAAGATTCTGCACAGTTTGGAAAACTCCCAAATCCTCCTCACCTCCCACCCTCCCAGGAGAACCCATGCAGCCTGTTTTGGATGCAGGTAAGTGCAGTGTGCATGCGAAGACTTGGGGAGGGTGAAAAATGGGTCTCCCAGAAGTTCAGAAAGGCTGGAAACAAGCCCGTTTCCATCTTCCAGAGAGCCTCCGGAGCCTGGGAAGGCGCCCGGAGTCTTGAGGAAAGCCTCTGGAACTCGGGGAAAGCAAAAATCCCCCCCCCCCCCCGCGTGGTGCAGGAGCCCAACTAGGCCATGCCCATCATGGCCACAGCCACCCAGCCACCCGCCAACCAGGCAAAGAACCCGTTGCTAAAATTTTTGAAGCCCACCCCAATTACAAGGATCACATCAAATAGCTGGAAGGTTATATGTGGCCCAATAAATATAGTCATAGATTGGGTATTTCTGCTTTTAATGTTTGTTTAATTTAACTATTGAATGTATGCTATCAGAACTTATGGTGAAACTATTGTATGAAAGAAAATCTTGGAGTTGATAGTGAAGCAAGTTAAATATATTGGATTAGTGAATGGGTTCATTCTGAGAAGTGTACTACATACTCTCATGGAAAGAGTGGAAACCCATAAAGAACATAGAAATATAGAGCAAATATTTGCCAATGTTTGTTTGCAGCTCTCCAAACTATCTCCTCCCCTAAAACAAAGGAATCTGATATTCAAGGACACCTTTGTTAGAAAGCTAGGAAAGGCACGAAGGGAAAAAATCAACAAAAGCTGTCCATTCTCCCAAAGACAGCCACTAATAACAAAGTATGAAAAATAACAGAAGAAAAACAATTTATACTTTTTAACTTTCTTACTCTTTAACTTACTTGTCTGGACAGTTTGTATCTTGTTCTTAACATAACTTCTATCTTGTAATTTCTGGTAAAGAAGGATGTTTTCATTAATATGAATTTTATTAAATATATTAAATATAAAGTTTATTTAATTGGTTAAATAAATAAGAGGTAATTTAACATTTCTATGCATATGTGATCATATTTTATTGAAAGATTTTATATTGACCTATGATGCTCCATTTTTTACATAACCCTAATAGTAAAGTTGCAAATTGCTAGAATTTTGCTAATGTACTAGGCATAATAATTATTATAAATCATTATGTATTTTAGAATTTTTGACAGGCATTTTTTAAATAACTAATACTGTTGGGAAAAGTCAATAATATGATGCTATTCATTGAACTTATGTCATTCTGACTGTGTACACTAAGGGGCACCATTCCTCTTTGTTCTACCTGATAATATAAACAGCCTCTGGATTTAACAAAACAGGAAGATGATACCTTTGTTTCATTACAATTTAAATTTTCAGTTTATTATGCTCTTGCAATGATTTTGAAGCAGCTACTTCACTAGTCTAATGTATAGTCACCTGAGAAACCAATTCCAAATCCCCAAAGGCAGTCAAATCATCCACCCAAATAAACACCCTTTCTCAAGAATTAATTGGGATATGAAGAGAGACAGAGAAAGATTCGACAAGTCTGAGTCATGGACAAGGCAAAATTGTGGAAAAATTCCTGTGACTATTTATCACAACATAGGAATCAAAATCCCGTTTATTTCTTCCAGAGAAAATCAAAATTCAGGATAAAAAGAATTTGGAATAATTTTCCACTTCATGCAGAAAAACCGCAGGTCTAATTTTTTTTAGTTGGTTCCACATGACAAAAGGTAGTGACAACTAATAAGTGGTGTACATACTAGTGACATAACTAGCAAATCATAGTAAGGAAATATAAAAAAGGACAAGTCATTGTAATAAGGAAGCCTAAACAAAAAGACTGAAACAAAATGACCTTCAGTGTAGAAACAAAGCAACAAACCTATTAAGCAAGAGAGTTTAGGAAAATATAAATATTAGTGACTCTCACTGTATTTATTTGTAATGATTTTATTACCACAACTAATGCCTTGGTTTTTTTTTTCTATAGGTCAACAATAGTTACTCACTTGAAATGCTTACCTGAAATTATTACTCTAGCATAAAACTTACAGGTAGTCCTTGCTTAACATCCGCTCATTCAGCGATTGTTCGAAGTTCAACAATTATTCAGTGCTGAACAAGTGGAACTAACTAGTCCTCATGGTTGCAGCAATTGTTGTGTACCCATAATCATGTGACTGCAATCTGGGCACTTGGCAATCAGCAGACCTTGCAACATTGCACAATCGTGTAGTTGCCATTTGTGACCTTCACTGCTGGCTTCTGAGAAGCAAAGTCAATGAGGAAATCAGCAGGAAGTCACAAATGGTGTTCACATAATCGTGGAATACTGTGACCATCCATGATTTGCCTAATGACAGTAGCTGGCACTGCCAGAACTTCTGCCATAAGTTAGCATAGTGGAATTGCTGCCTTAGAGATGGAGTTTTAGTCCCAATTGCCATTGTAAGGGAGGACTACCTGCACACCCAATATAATATAAATTTCTTGATTTGTTACACTCAAAAACAACAAAATAGAAGCAGAACAGTGTAACAATGAGCAATGACATCCCCAAGTATTTGTTTAAAAACTTACTTTTGTACATGCAGGAGCACAGTCCTTACAACTTTTATGCACAATTGCATTGCAATCTGCAAGGAAGCAAGAAAAGATCCTCTCAATTGCAATCTCAATTTTAGAGTGTTCAACTTTCATTTAGAAATAATTCTTGTCTTAATGTTTTCCAGCTGTGATGACTGGTTCCTTCAAAGGGGTTGGAAATTGTTATATAAATCGGCAAAGTCCCAACTAATTTTCACCGAAAGGATAAAGAAGTACAGTATGTCTTGGATCTTAGGCCAAAACCACACATCATACAGAACAGGAGGTTGCCACCAAGAAAACAACCCCTTCTATGTTTATATTATGAGAAACAATTATTCTCTAGCATTACCCTGAGAATCAAACTGCATGAAATTTACTGATTGATTTCAATTTGTTATAGCTGCCCAGCTCAACAGACTGGGCAGCTTACAAAATTTAAAAAAAACACCTGTTGAAAATAAATTCTGACAGCTCAGACTAAAACAACCCAGTACAAGCCTGATAAGGACCATGCAAATAAATTAATCCCAACCAAAGACCAAAGCCAAGTCTTAAGGGCTTTCCAAAATCCCTGGCAAGATGCCACAAGCCATATATCAGGTGGGAATGGAACAATTTGCCACAGCCAACTTGCTGCAGCCAACTCCCCATGGTCAACTCATCGCAACCAACTTATCACAGACAACTTGCTGTGGGACAATGTAACAATTCTATTTAATTATTTAAAATAAATAAAAATATTTTAATGTTTGCCATTCACATTTTATTCTGTTCCTCCTTTTGCATCATTTCTTTAATGATTCTATTCCACCATTTCTTTGATATTAGTGTAATTCTTGTCCTGCAGTGAGTTGTCCTGTGGCAAGATGACCATGGCGAGTTGTTCTTCAGCAAGTTGGCCTGCCAAGTTGGCTGTGGCAAATTAATCATGGTGAGTTGTCATAGACCCTATCTCAGGCAGGGGCTATGACAAAGAGGACTATGCTTTCCTCAGTCCCACAGCATTTGATAAAGGGGAAATGGAATGTATTCACTCTGCCCAAATATACCAGGTGGGAAGAAACAATTGGAGAAAGGTGATCCCTCAGATATGCCATGATTTGGAACAGGTCTGTCTGTTTACATTTACATCAGTCCCAACCATGTTTAAACTGAGAGATCGATGTTTGAGAAGGCAGAGAAGCATGAATGAACTATACTAAATCCTGATCATATAGCTCCCTTATATATCTCCTCAAGCTATTTTTCTTTCAATTTCTAGGCTCATTTCATCTATTGGAACTAATCAAGAGGAAGAAAAATAAATGTAGGTTTAGTTCAAGAGGAGGGGTGGGGGTAGAACTGATTTTTTTTAGAATCTTCACCTTAAAATTTCTAAAAAGATATCTATCCTTGTCTTCATTTTGTGGAATAGCTAAAAGAAAATATTTACAACTCTTAAGTTTATTTTGGAAATATATAAAGATGAAATTGATTTAAGGGAACATCTAACTCAAAACTATGTAAACCCAGCAGCTGTTCTAGGCAGAGTTAACATTAGATATTTAATATGCTAAGTTGTTAATATGCCTTTATTGTGTTGGTCACACCTAATTAAGAGATCACTATAGCTTGTGGGATAATAATCTTATGGGTTTGTGGGAAGAGTTCCAAATTCAGGCTACAACAGCTCAGAACTAGAAATGTTCTCCCTAAAGGCATGACAAACTGCTGCTAGTCAATATAAAGATAATAAAGTATCCAATGTGCCTATGGATGAATCCTGAAATTTAGTAACTATGATACAAGCACTGTGTCTTGAACTAAGCAAATTATTCTCAAATCAAGAAATAGGATTGAATCTATATTTAATCATGTTTCGAGTAAGCCCACAAAAATCTTACTTAAGTTAAGGGACTTAAGGAACTTGTAAGTTAGCTAAGGAACTTAAGTAAGTTGTGCTTCTGGGTCTATGATCTGTTCTACATATGACTAAGTTTGGAATCAATCTACAAATACAAGCAACTTTCTACAACAAAGTTGGGGAAAGCAACTTCTATGAACACAAACTATAGTTACTTACAAGAACACTGCAATGATTCTTTCCCCAACAGTGGTTTCTCACATGTGAAACACGGCATTACTCCAGCATACGATCCAGAACCAAAGTGATGCCTGTTAGCTTTCTCTTTTTCTTTGGCATCTTTGTTTTTTGCCTTAATAACCAAAATGAAAAATACAAATAAATACAAATTTAGTTCACAAAGCGATACAGCATCAGTATCTCCAGAGGCAGTCAATTACCCCACTCAAAAGAAGCAACGAATAATCTTTTCATTCCTCTCCATTTTGCAGAACAATATTGCATAGAAATCATATTCTTACATATTTATATAAACCATAGTAAAATAACCTCATTCAAATAACATTTGGTCTAAAAGCACCAGGTGAGAAACAAGGAGATTCTGAATTGTAGTCCCTGCCTTAGGCTTGAAAGCCTAAAATAAAATAAATAATCCTTACTTTTGTACATGCTGGCTATTGTAACAAAAGTGGAACTAGTAAATAATCACTGACAATGATGACACTTTCTGAAAGCTACATCATTCAGGGATGTAGGGATCATCTTAAGATAATTCTGAATATCTTCATATCTGCATGATTACACGGGACTATTTATGACACCTTTTCCAAAAGAAGAGTTTGTAAAAGTCAGAATGGAACTAAAAGAATAGCAGATTGGAAAAATATTGACATGAACCAATTTTTTTAAAATGTTCCCAAACGGTCCCAAAATCAGAAGAGAAATATTTAGCACAAATCCAAAAGAAACCCTCTGATTTTTCTCCTTTTATTGAATTCTGTCCCTTTTCCCTTTATTTATTTAGCATAGAATTTCTGACAATGGAATGATAAATCCTACATTAACAAAGAGGATATCATCATATCACTGTAGGGCAATTATTCTCCGATGCTTTTTTTAAAAAAACCACTTACAACTGAAAAATGTTTTCCATTATGTCCAAAAAAATATTTTTCATTGTCAAGTTATAAAATATTCATAAGAATTGTATTTTCGTGCTCATATTTTAATTACAAGCACAATTCAGTACTCATAATATTTAAGATTTTTTCTGTTTTGTTTTGGTGGGGTGTTTTTTTCTCTCCCATAATGCATTGATCATAAATTACCTTAGATTTATTTCGTGTACTGGCCATTCTATTCATTAGAAAACTGAATGTTCGGCTAACTTTATATTTTTCAGATTCTGATTTTGTTGGTATTATGTACTTATCCCATTCTTCTTCTTGAATCCTAAAAATATACCAGGAAATATCTTAACATCTTACAAAGTAAAAATGTATAATAAAATATGTGACATTGTAGAATTCATAAAATACAAAAAATAAATATCTGCATTCTTTTATCTTATTTAAATGTGGAACAATTTCAGTATACATGCATTTTTGCACTTTATCCAGTTATTATTGCAAGTTAATTTCAGGTAGCATATCTGATTGATGCTGAAATTCTTACATTGCTCAAGTAAACAGCCTCTATTTTGCAATTATTACCAATAAAATACACACACACACACACACACACACACACACATATATGTAGATCTTTGGTTATTCGGGTTTTCTCCCACGTAAGATTGGAAGTATCTAGGCAACGTTTCGATGAAGTCTCATTTATTATCTTCAGGTTTGTGTCTTCGGCTCTGTGCTTCTCAGAGAACTCTGTAGAAGCCTGATGATGGCAGATGAGATTCTGCTGAAACGTTGCTACAACTTTAAAAGTACAACTACAATGACGTGGGAAAATACCCGAACAAAGCTGAATACATGTAAGTACCCGCGAAAACTTAAGAAAACAAACAAACAAACATATATTATATATATATATATATATATATATATATATATATATATATACATACATACACACACACACACACACACAAAACATACCTTTTTTCTGACTGTTCATGCAAGCTGAATGTGTGTGATTCTATAAAAAAAATGTTTAAAATAATTATATTTTAGCAGTCAGTCATTGTTGACAGCATAAGATTTCCATTTAAAAATTCATTTGTATTCATTCCATTTAAAAATGACTATTGCATACTAACATCCCTGAAGTAGTAGTAATAATAATAATAAAAGCTGAAAGATTATGGCATAAACTCACTATTTATGTGTTCCCACTGGTTACTGACACATTAGGTACCATACCAAAAAACTTGGACAGATTTAGAAAATATGTTTATTGACAGAATTTCTATCTTTCAATTACAAAAGAGCACACAGTTTGAATGCACACATATATATACTACACTGATACATCACAATGTCCAAGAACTGGCAGCTGTAATTTCACATGTTGTGTTTATTATAATAATAAATTGCAGAAGACGGCTTACATCCTGCAAAAACACCTTTAATATTATTAAACAACATCTGCCTATCCCTTGTTCTCAAGGACTCAATAGGTGGGCAAAAATGCCAAATCCTGGATGACTTTGTGACCAATCATAATATCAATATCCATCTTTGGCCACAGAAATTAGTTTTCTGTTCCCAGGCTAATCTACCTCAGACAATTATTATTGTGGGGAAAATTGGGACCATCTATGCTGCCTTTGCTCCTGAACAAAAGCAATCATATAAATTTAATAAGCAAATATTCTTCCTTTTTCAAAAACTCAGTAAGATGCTGTATAACTAAACTGTACAAAAATGAAAGATCTCGATCTGATCTGATCTGAAAGATCTCGATCTGATCTGATCTGAAAGATCTGATCGACACAACTCAATCAGGGCAAAGCAATAGACGCAATCTACATAGACTTCTGTAAAGCCTTTGATTCAGTGGTACACGACAAACTACTCCTAAAAATAAAATCTTATGGTATCTCTGGACAACTGCATAACTGGATAGAAGCATTTCTGTCAAACAGACAACAAATGGTAAAAATTGGGAGTGTCCTATCAAATTCTGTACCTGTCAATAGTGGTGTCCCCCAAGGCAGTGTTCTAGGACCAACTCTCTTCATACTCTACATAAATGACCTATGTGATCATATTAAGAGCAACTGCGTTCTTTTCGCTGATGATGTAAAGCTGTTCAATACCACAGACAATACTACTACTCTTCAAAAAGATCTTGACTATATATCAGAATGGTCAAACAAATGGCAACTTCTAATCTCAACAAATAAATGCTCTGTCTTACATATTGGCATAAAAAATCAGAAAATAAAATACAAGCTGAATAGTCAAGATCTTGTTGATGATCCAAGCTCTGTAAAGGACCTTGGAATACTCATCTCTAATAATCTAAGTGCTAGAGCCCACTGTAACTACATAGCCAAAAAGGCATTAAGAGTTGTTAACCTAATCCTACGTAGCTTTTTCTCTGGTAATATCACACTACTAACTAGAGCATACAAAACATTTGCTAGACCAATACTCGAATACAGCTCATCAGTCTGGAACCCACATTACCTTTCTGATATTAGCACAGTTGAGAAAGTCCAGAAATATTTCACAAGAAGAGTTCTCCACTCCTCTACTCATTGTAGAATACCTTATGCCACCAGACTTGAAATTCTAGAACTAGAAAACCTTGAATTACGCCGTCTTTGGTCTGATCTAAGTATGGTATATAAAATCATACATTGCAATGTCCTACCTGTCAATGAATACTTCAGCTTCAGCTTCAACCATAACAACACAAGAGCACACAATAGATACAAACTCAAGGTTAACCTCATCAAACTTGATTAAAAGAAATCAAGGAAATATGACTTCAGCAACAGAGTGGTCAATGTCTAGAATACTCTACCTGACTCTGTAGTTTCTTCCCCAAACCCCAAAAACTTTAACCTTAGACTGTCTACTATTGACTTCACCCCTTTCCTAAGAGGTCTGTAGGGGACGTGCATAAGCGCACCAATGTGCCTACCGTCCCTGTCCTATTGTTTCTCTTATTTTTCTTACATGTACCCATTTCATGTATTCATAACTATGTATATGCTTATACTTATTATCTTGTAAGCAACTGACAAATCAAATAAATCAATAATAAATAAATAAATAAATAATGAAAGATGTACATTATAGGGAGAAAATCCTGCCTATCTTCACACATCAATAGTTAGATATAAATCTGATTTAGAAAAAGGTGGGATATGTGTGAGTAATTTGAATCTTGCAACTTAGAAAAATAGTTTCATCTTATATGAAAAGTATACTTAATACCCTACTCTAAAGTTAACTTGGGGCTGAATTAACCATGCTAATTTTCTTTAAAAATATAAGAACATTAAAATATTAGTGCTCACCATCATTTGAATCACATTGAATAAATTCCTGAACGCACGGTGGTTTTCCTAATAAGACTTTGGGTGAAGTATAAGAATATGAACGCAAACGAATTCCCGAAAGTAGAGATTCCTAAACATATAAAACAAACAGCATATTTTGAAATTTTTCTCTTTCGTAGGTTTTACAAATGTTTTAATTGCAAAACTAGATGATGATGTTTCTTATGAAAAATTCCTTTTAGTAAAATTTATTGATAAATTCCAAATATTTTAAAAATAATAATACTATGGCATTTGGAGGGGGAAATATAAGTATAAATAAGCTCTCCCATCAATTAAATAAGTGTTATTCATTTTATGGGAAAATGAAAACAACGATACCTTGGACTGTAAACTGCTGGACAAAGGAAGAGATTCAGCTGTGTTCATGCTGTCGTCCAATCTAGCGGTGGGCTCTGAAGCACTTAATTGCTCCCTATCACTCGGCAAGATCGCAGAAGAGTTGTAAGTCACTGAAGAATAGCAGCTATGGGATCTTTCATCTCCACTGTCAACATCCAAGTCATCAAGACTGGAACTGGGAGCAAAGGAACACAAACATACAATAATTTACTAGAGTAGCTTACAGTAGTTATATACAATAAGTAAAGTGTATTGTCCTTCATCCACTCTACCCAGCCTTAACCATAGTTAAAATACCTGGAAAAAAAATTCAAGAAATTAGAAGCATGCATTAAGAAAAGGACAACATTTCCCTGAATGTTAAAATATAACCTTTTTGGTAAAAAATCAATAATACCTCAGCAAACACATCACGAAACTCACATTTACTGTGGCAGCATGAATTCAGAAACAGAAAAACAGCGATGGGAAATTTTAAATATGCTTCTCTAAGTAGGGAAGAGGGGAATGAAGGGAGAATATTCTGTAAAAGTCATTCTTGATTACTTTTGCTTAGTTATGTTTTCAGAAAGCAGATAAAAAATATTAAAACCAGCATGATGCACTTTTGCAGAACAGACGCATGAAAAGTTTTGGAACCCTATCCAAAACATTCCTTTCGAAACCCATGCAACCCATATTTATTTTATAGGACAAACACACATATGTAAAGAGTTACTGTTTTTATAACAATGCAAACAAAAACTATCACACACCTTCGTTTTTTAATAAAGGGATAACGATGATTCCGTAGATTCCTAAAGGCATGTGTCTTTTTTGATGGCATGTCAGAACCTGAGGTATCCAAGCTGGGTATCATAACTGATGATAGATTTTTGTTGCTTGGAATATTTTTCAACACTTTTGGATCTTTACTTGAATCTGTGTTAGTTTCCAAAGTACTCGGGCTGTTATTAATGTACTTGACACCAGCATCTTCCAACTAAAGTATGGAAATAAAATTATTAATGTTAAATACTAAATAATGCAAAATGATGTAAAACTAAATTCAGCTGTTAGAACCAGGTGTCATTAATATCCCAACAGAAAAAGTTCAGTGGGATCAGGAACCCAGTGATGGCAGAATATACTCTTAGTGTTATGCTCCAAGAATTCATTCAATATCTATAATATTATCAGGTATCAAAATGAAATAAAAATTCTGCAAGAAGGAAGCATAGCAATTCCTCAGAAAGCAAACACCAGATAGCAGATAGGTAAGTAAAATTAAATTTTTATATTACTATTGTTACACCAAACCTAATGTCAGCATTCCAGCTAACTAACTCCAAACCAATAAACTCTGAGACAAACATTCCCTCAAAATTCCATTTTATTAGAGTTGTCATATTGGTAAATCTAGGAAACCTGAATCTGAGAGTTCTGGATTTTCCCTTCCCAAAAGAAAATCAAAAATCTATTTCCTGCATCCATCAGTCCATCACCTGGCTTAATCAAATCTTCGTCCCAACTGGAGACATCCTTCCGGTCACTCCCCTCCAGGTGCAGGGCAACATGTCCTTGACTCTCTGAGAAAGAAAGTTGTTGTGTCTAATTTTCTACCTCACTATGAAATCCTCCCTCCCAAATTCCCAGGCACTGAATGTGGCAGAATCAAAACTTCCAAGTAAAAAATGGCTTCCAAAGCTGACACCTAAACATTTTAAATAAAATGTATACTGTTTATTTAACATTTACAATTATTTAGTGTAGTCTCCCACATTAATTGTAAGGTAACACTAAACTCCATGGACAAGGATTCCTATTAGTCTATGATAGGGAAGAAGAAATGCCATCTTCTGGAGGGTGCTGAACAACAATTTCAGCCTCATCACTGGCTTTCCCAGTAAAATTACTAAGAATTGTGATCCAGCAACATCTGAAGGTACAAATCTGACCCGGGAGAGGGAGCATACGTGCATAAGATGCACATAAAAGAGGTAAGAGAGAAGAGCATAAAACAGATATTTGGATGGGTACATGAAACAGACAAAAATAATAGTGAAAGGGATAAATTGTGCAGGAAAGAGATGGGTAGCACGTATGAAATAGGGATGAAATAGAGACCCAGAAAACATTTTTGTACAATTCACTCAGTAGTTAAGGGGAGTAAAGGAAGGAGGCTGAGATTTGCAAACTGAAACCATTGCTTGAAGGTCTTTCGTGTTTTTTTAACTTTTAAAAGATTTTTCTTTAATTTATAATTCATAAACTTTGACATCAATCAGTCCCAAAATTAAATGACATGGATTAGTACAGATTAAGAGACATTTCAGAAGAATTAAGTGCAAGGTTCTTGGTATCCTTTTTAAACAAAAGTTTTACATTTTACTCTTCATCTTTTAAAAAAGAGAGCATTTTAGTCCAGAAATTTTTTTTTTTAAGTATCAATACTATACAAGTTTGAGAAAACGCAGAGTCCACAAACTTTTGTAGAATTATGAAAAGCTCCTCTAAATATTAGCAGGTAATTTTTGGCCAACACATTTGTGTGTGTGAGAGAGAGAGAGAGAGAGAGAACACACTTAGGTTATAAATGATAAACATTTCTCTTATTGCTTCCCCTTAAAATAAAATAAACAAATACTAATTGTGCAATTCATAACTTGATATAATCACATACTTTCAATAGCCACACATAACTAATCTCAATATACACCTGTCAGTCTTACCTCATCTACTACCATGCGGTTTGCATATACTTCATCATTTCCATTGAGCATAGCAGAAAGTTTTGCTGCAGCAAAGAAGGTGGAAGGATTTGGTCTTCTCCTATAAGCTTCAAATGGGGAATATTGCTGAGCTGGAATAAAATAATAGGAAAAATGATTTTTTTTACATGATAATTCAGAAGAAATATATAATTTTGATGACATCATACATGCTTTCGTCTCATGAGTAGAACAATTGAGGGAAGAGGAGTTATCAGTCCATTTTTTCTTCCTCCTCTTCTCGTTGTTGTTTCCACACTCAGCCTTCTAAATCAGAGTCATTCTAGTACTCATGGAACATCATGGCCTCCAGATAATACTATTGGTCATTGCTGGTTTAGAATTCTAGGAGTTATAATCCCATCATATTTGAAGATTGGGGAATTAGATAAAGAAGGAATGAATTATTCCTACAATTAGCTAGTATGGGGTTTATAACAGTGATGGGCAACTTATAGCCCTTCTTGACTATAGTTTATAGCCATCTAGTGTTCGAGAATAGATAACTACTGTATATTTTTAATTGATTGATTGATTGAATTTATTTACGACCTATCTTGTATCAAAAAGACTCTATGTCAGCTCTGAGATTCAGCTGCCAAGAAGGAATGGAAGGGGGGCGGAGTTCAAGGTTATTCTGTATGTCGCATTAAAAAATTCCAGCTGCAGTTAATTGGTTCTTGTGATTAATGAAGTGTAGAAGTGGGAGGAGAGAAGGTGGATTTTGTGTTACTGTGCTGAAAATGACGTTCACTTTTGGAAATGCCATAGAATTACCAGAGCTGTTCCTAATAAATCAGTTGGAGATTATACTTGTCTCGGAGTGATTGATTACCATGGACAATTTCTGGATGCCTAACACTCTAGGTGGTTATATGTCTTGAAAGAGTGGAACTATAATTTAAAAGTAAACTAGGCCTATGTACTTTGTAGCCCTTAGCTAGCTAATGGTCACCAAAATACTGCTCATTTGTCCTATCTTTCTAGCTCCAACTTTTCCAATAAGAATTATTATAAATAATAGCATGAAAGGTTCCTTATCATCTCAATCACATAAGAGGAAGGCTATCTTTATAATTACTATCATCAATGTATCTATCAATATGGACATAATTCAGATTAACAGAAGTATTAATCTGAATTATTACAGCAGTGTTTCCCACATAACCCCATATCTGAGTCTACTAGAGGGAGGATTACATGATTTTTCTTTTAAAAAAGAAAGATCAAATGAGATTTTTAAAAACAGGAGGAATCTGACCAGCAGTTTTTTTTCCAAACTAAAGGAGTTCCACAAGAACTACAAGTTCTGATTCTGGTGGACCTACTCAGCTTCCTTCATTCCCTTATCAGTGCAATACAATGTTTTTCCTGGACTAAGATTGTTTCCAGGATATACTTTGAATTTTGGTTAGTTGTTTCTCCTTAAACTTGGCTCTTCCACGTTCTCTGCATGACCCACTGCAATTATGCCAACTTGTGAAGGAAATGCAACAGGTGTCTCAGCTGCTTATTATTTTTTAATGTTTCTACTATAACATTTCAAAATGGGCTTGAAGACAGCAGGTAGAATCATCTGAGAGAGAAAGAAAAGGAAGTAAAATACTAAATAGTAAGTACTGAAATCTCAGTGTATCCTACATTGCCTGCCAACACATTTGTTTCCTCATAGTTTATTCATTCAGGATATAATCTGTCCAAATAAACAAGGAGCTAACCGAACTGAATAATGAAACATTGTTTTATTGTAACAGAAATTAGAGGTTATCAATTAATCAATAGTACTAAATAAATGAAATCAATCCTAGAGAATGATTAACTCTTTCCTCCAATGTTCTTTCCTGAAAGGGTGTTAATACTCCTAATAATTCTATGAGGAGAAACATACATAGCTTTATCTATCTCTTTTAATCCCACTGTCTGGCATAGGCCCTGATTAACACTGACCATTGAGAAGTTTGTGAATAATTTTATGAAATTGTTTAGGATTATATGCATAATATATGCACACCTGCACAAAAATATTTTAAAAGAATGAAGAACACAATGATGCACTTTAATACTAAGATTAAAGCATATAAATAATAGAATTTAGTATCCATGTACTAGTATATCTTGCATTAAAGTTAAAGAAAAGTCCATTCAAATTCATGATCAGAATGTTCACCTGATATTGTTATCTGCTGTTTTCAAATAGCAAAATGTTTTAAACACATAAAAAATAAACAGAATTCATTACCATATTTTATTTTTTTACTTTTAACATGTCTGATTTAGTAACCTAAAACAATAAACTAGCGATCAGAAATACCATTTATTTACTTTAGAAAACATGTATGGTTGTTCATCTTACATGCCATAATTTTGGCCACTTTTATGATACCACTTGAGTCACTATACTGTATGTTGATTGGCAAAATGGAAATGTGTACTTTTGTATTCAGATGCTGTGGTGCTGATGACTGAGAATCAGAATTATTTGCAGTATTTCCATGTTACATATATTGTATGATGGAATGAATATGGATATAAAATTAATAGAGGGAAACACTGGAGAAGTTTTAAGCTATGCAACTATTTGTAAAAAAAAGTTATCCAACTTTGTCCAAATATCATCCAAGTTGTCCAAATAAGCGAAGATGGCGTCATAGGAGTATAGTTCATTTTATTATATGAAAGTGAGAGTTGTGTACATCAAGAGAAACATAAAAATAAGTTAAATGCAGTGGGAATAGTTTATTTAAGAACTGTATACATGATAAAAAGAATGGATGGACTCAATCATGAAAGGCTAATAAATAAATGTGGGCTGAATATAAAAAATGAATTGAGCAACAAGAAAACCTACATTGAGGTAGTTTAGTCTCATAGAGAGAATGAAGACTGAATTACAAAACAAATGTTTGCTGGAAGAAAGAATGGGCTGAAAAGAAGGGGAAGAGTGAGAATGTCATGATTAGATGAAGATGTTAAGAAGAATGAAATAAGATTGGTTTGGCATGATCTGTTTTTAACAAACCTGTGCTGACTTCTAGTTATTACTTTGTTTCTAGATGTTGGCAGATCTGGTTTTTTTTATTATCTTTTCCAATATTTTCCCAGGTATTGATGTTAGGCTGATTGGTCTATAGTTTCCTGGGTCTGTTTTTTTCCCTTTTTTGAAGATGGGAACCACATCAGCTCTTTTCCAGTCCTTTGGTAGTTCACTAGCACGCCAGGATTTTTGAAAGATATGGTGCAGTGGTTCTGAGATGACCTCTGCCAGCTCCTTTAAAACTCTCCATCAGGCCCTAGTGATTTGTGTTCATCAAGATCAGACAGGTATTCTCTTACTTTTTTTTTTTTTTTTGCTTATTTTAACTTTTATTTCTGGTCTGTCTTTTACAGTTATGATTCTGGTGGGTTGAGCTATAATTTCTTTTTTGTGTGAAGACCGATGCAAAGAATGAGTTAAGCTGTTCTGCTTTCTCTCTGTTGCCTGTTAGTTCCTTGCCATCTTCTCTTTTTTGTGGACCGACTGTTTCTTTGATTTTTTTTTCTTGTTATTTATATGTTGGAAGAAACTTTTTTAATTAGCTTTGACTTTTGTTTTAAGTCTTTGTTTGTTCTGAGCCTTTGCTGTCCTGACTTAGTTTTTGCAGATTCTAGCTATCTGCTGATAGTCTGCCTTACTAGTTGTATGTCGTTCTTTCCATTTTTTGTACTTGTCTTTTTTTTCTTTCAATTTGCCAGAAAGATCTTTGTGCAGCCATGATGGTTTCTTCTTTGATTTGTGGTTTTTCTTTCTCAGTGGTATTGTGCTGGTCTGGGCTTCTATGATCATACTTTTTAGAGTTTCCCAAGATTCCTGAGTTGTTTTTCCCTTTAGGATTTTCATCCATAGAATCTTTCCCAAGTTCTCTCTGAGTTTATTAAAATCAGCTCTTTTAAAATCCCAGACTCTGGTGTCATTATGTTCTGTTGCTTGTGTTATGTTGAATTCTAGTATGACATGGTCACTCTCACCCAAGGTTCCTGCAGTTTCAACTCCCTCTATCACTTCTTCTGTTTGTAAGAATTAAGTCCAGTATAGCTGTCCCTCTAGTTTCACCCTCTACCTTTTGGACAACAAAGTTGTCAGCTGGGTTGGTTAGGAACTTATTTGATTTCTCACTTGGTGCAGAATTAGTTTTCCAATTGATATCAGGATAATTGAAGTCTCCCATTACTATTGTGTGTTTCCTGCATATGTTTGTTAGTTGGTTGGCAAAAAGGACATCTATTTTTTCTGCTTGATTGGGTGGCCTATAATACACACCTATGGCCATGTCATCCTTTTTTCTTTTATATTGACCCATCTTTGGTTTCATGCATTTCTGTAGCAATACAGTGGTCCTTTACATATAGTGCAACTCCACCTCCTCTTTTATGGTGTCTGGTGTTTTTTTTTTTTAATCGTTTGTATCCTTCTACTAGTATATTAAAATCATGGGTTTCATCCCACCAAGTTTCTGTTATTCCAACTATATCATATCTACCTTCATGTATTCGTAGTTCAAGTTCACTCTGTTTGTTCCTCAGACTTTGTGCATTTGTATATAGGCACTTGAGATCTTTTTGTCTGATGCTGTGTTTGCTGTCTACATAACCTGTGTTGTGCCTGCCTGCCCCTTCTTTGTTGCCACCTGTTTGATTAATGCACATGGTATCGCACTCACTATTAAATGCTTGGTTTTCGTTGACAGCAAGGCTGATAATCTTACCTGCACAAACATCTATTTTACATGCACTGGTATCCTTATTAGTTTTAGGTTGCTGGGGAAAGAAATGTTCTGTAATTAATTCTCTGTCCCCACTGTTCAGTTTCAATGTTTATCCAGAAAATCTGTGAATTTAATGCCAAGTAACTCAGTCCCTTTCTTTGATGGATGCAAACCATCTCTTTTGTACAGCTTTTCATTGGACCAGCTGCAGACATCATAACTAATAAAACCAAAGCCTTCCCTTTTACACCACTCCTTTAGCCATACATTAAACTCCGCCACACGCTGGCCTTTCCCTTTTTGTTCCTTGTATACTGGTAGAACCTCTGAAAAGATAACCCTATAGCTCA